GGGGTGAGGTAGTTTGAAGTCAGATGTCAACTGCCAGTTAATAGACATTTTTACCGTATGAGTATGCGTTGCCCAGGGTGCACCACGTGGAAGTAGGTCTATCGCAATTAATAATAATAATAATTTAATATTAAATTACGATTGTACTATCGAAAATTCGCCTTTTCAACTTTGTTTTTTCCCTTACTGAAATAGGCCGATAGGTGAAAGCAAATTTACAAATGCTATTATTGACGACAATGTTAATGATTTATCAAGTGTTAAATAAGATTCAAATTCCAAATTATTTTTCTTTGTTTGGATAAAATAGTACCTCAAATAACACCTAAATTTTTTATGGTATATTTGACAAATTTGTGATAATTCGGAATGTGAAACTTTCCTGATGAAAACACGCGTCTGGCATAATTTGTCCGGTGCCTGGGAAAACGATCATTTTGGCATTATTATTTGATCAGAGCATATAACAAACATGCGAATTAGCATAGATCCCCCTTAATATTGCTTCCCAAAAGGATCTATGCACATTTTCCCATATAATGTTGAGTATTTGGTTCCTCTATATTATATAAAATTATTCCCTTCAATCAAATGAAAATTCCTTTATTCGGCGATGTTTGAATTTGTTGAACTAGGAGTATTTAATATATTTGAAATTTGTTTTATTAAGCTCAAAATGGCTTTAAAGTGAAATTTTATCATTCATTTGTAAGCTCCAACAGTGATATACTAGTGAAAGTAGTTGTTATCCATTCAGAGTCAATGAACACTCGGATTGCCACGATTTAGTTAGTGATTAAAAATGAAAGGTTACATAGGTCATATACCCCGATTGTGGTACAAGAAAATCATGTAACTAATAGTGTTAACATGACAGACACAAGATCGTGATTGAGACATGTAACCCTGGGAATTCTTCGTTCTGGCCCAGTCGTCATAGCTAAAATTGTTAAAAATGTCGGTTCTGGCATGTAAAGGGCGAATCCCAACCCCAGCGTAACTCGATTGAAACAGTCAGCTTTGAATGAATTTCCGCAAAAAGTAGACTTTTGCACTGTCAGCGTGATTATTGCTACTTCCCAGACGCAGATAACGACAAGAACTCCTCTAGACCTATTTATGGTTAATCTCTGTATTATAAAAACAAGCTTCCATAAAAAAGATAATTACCAAACTTACTACCTTAACCCTGACATCGAATTCTACGCTGAAAACATCTTAAAAAGGATATTTTAAACAGAAGAGGAAACGAACTTGGTCAAAATCCCATGTAAAAATCACGTCCACCAATCAGATGAGAGAAATGGAAAAAATTAATAGCAACTGTAACTCATATTAATAATTTCCTAATTGGTGAAAAGTCTGACCTCTTGATTCAACTATTGAAGATAAACAGTAAATTGGGCACTATTGGCGCCTGCTATATTCATATGAATGCGTCATATTTTTGGGACGTATCTGTCGCCAGCAGGTCGGTAATTAAGAGCACCAAAATGGCATTAAAATTCGCTTCACTTAATGGTTGTTTGTTAGCACTGTGTAGCACTCAACTCTCAATTGTAATCACTGTCCCATTTCATACTTTTGTGTTTAATGAACTGGCGATTTAATGACTTTATGATGTAATCTAACCAACGCAGATTTTATGGTTATTGGCTCAGAATTTTGAGCTGTTCATTTGCCGAAAGAAGGCTTTTATCTTTTATCTCATAAATGCTTTAAGTTAAATCGGCTAGTTCTTGTCCCTTTGGTGGGAAAGAACTATTCCTCTCAGAACGTTCTCTACGCGAATGCACTTACTAACCGCTAATGGCTTGCACGCCAAACTGTCGCCCTCAAAGTCAATTTCGTAGGAAAAATATAATTTGGTTTTAGTAACTCCACGCTCTTTCATGACTTTGAGGCACGTCTAACACAAATATTATAAAATTCTCGCATAAGTAACATGTCCAGAGAGTTTTAATCAGGCGTCTTGTCTGGAATCTAAAAAAAGAGGTCTTTAATGCACGAAATGTCTTATAAATAGTAATAAAATACGATAGAGGCCTTGATTTCATCAATCTTATTTATGGCAGTTATACGATTTTTAATGTGCCAAGGCATTCTGCCTCTACCTGTGGAAAAGTCGATGTCTCATATTACGCTCTCAAAAAAGATATTTTTAGTAGATCACAGAAAACCAATTGCAGACTGGAAGAATTTTTCCCTATGTTACTCGCTTGAGTAGTCTACATGTTTGATAACTACAAATATGCGATCATTACGTAATGACCTTAATTACCTCTTATCCCAACGTTCTCAACGATATAACCCCCCCCTTTCAGACCTACAAAAAAATCAATACTTTCAATAGGAAGCAACTGACATTGAGGAATAATAAGTCCAACAAATAGTACTGTGAATGAGATGAAAAAGGTCACGCAGAGATCACCAAAGAATCTTTATTCATAAGATCTTTGACTAGAGTTGTGCACAATATTTGCCATGTGAGCAGTGTAATTCGCAAAACTGGAGTTTCATACAGTCCATCCACTTTCAATTCACCAAATTAAAATTCCATCTTCATTTTACCGACCATAAGGTTGGGAATTTTTTTTGAATTCTTATACATACACTTCCATCGGCCTTGTCTTCTTGTTATCTAACATAACACCAATCATTTAGGCAATTAACTCTTATATTGAGTCTGATTATTAAACAATTTTATTAGTTAAAAATGAACATTTTTAAGAAAATGTAATAAGGCCCTTGGTAATATATGATTTTCCTTATTAATGGAAATACTTAAAGTCTCATTACTAAGAGAGCGAGAGGGAGAGAATTTCAAAGGAAGTTGTGAATAATGTTAAATTAGAAACATCAGAACGATACAATTTTTGCAATAGTAAAATGAAACTTTTTTTCGCAAAAAATAGGTCAATCTTTTAAGTTGCGACAAAATATCTTTGGTTCCCTCGACAATTTCACTTTAACTGCCAAAAATTGTGTCTATAAATCCGTGTTTACCTTCATTGGCTAATAAAATTTGAAATATTTTAATTAAATTACCGCCTATTGAGATTTTCCTAAGAGTAGCGAATTTGCCTCTTGCCTTTGATTTGATGATGATACTTTAAAATCCCTGTCTACCTCCCCCCCCCCCGGCTATTGATTATTACCCCCAATTTAATTGGCCACAATTTTCCATCGATCCCAACACTGTTTCATGACTTTTGGGGATTTTCAACTCCTGAAATACGAAGCGCCCATTCTCTTTTTTTTTGTTTCTTAACCAATTTTCCAATCCACGTCTTCGCCACGTTATCTCCACTCTTTAAACTGCAGAAATTACAGAAGTTGCCTCTGTCATCATGATGCACATAACTCACTGAATATTTCAATATTAATCTCATTTTGCAGAAAAAATGGCAGTCATTTTGTGTCCATTCTCATAGCAATATCTTAAAATTAATTAGTTTTGAATGACTGCGGTTCATTTTCATCAAGCATACTATAAATCATACTTCCTGTTGTATCAATGGCGATAGAGATGGAGCCAGAGATAGGCTTGTTAATTAACTTTTGTTATTTTTAAATAAAGCTAGTGTTCATTATCATAATCATTGAAGACACATAGCATTTCTTTAGATGCTATCACAGATGTTGATTGGTGAAAGGACGCTATGCCTAGAATTCAACCCCCCCCCCACAACTTCTTTGCGTGAGTGGAGGTTTAACACATGGAAGCATTTATAATCTTAACATTTTATTTTGGAATCTGGAAATTGATGCGATCACAACAAGGTGTTATTATAAAAATAGGAGTAAATACGGATATGAGAGGAGGCGAGGAAAGGCGAGATAGATAGTTAGGAGGAAGGGTGAATTTGAATAAGCAGCGTAGGTGGTTTTAATTGACTGGTTCTTTCAACTTGACTTCGAGGCCTCAATAACTGTAGCAGTATAGAGTGCAGCTCCAACACATGCTTCTATCACTTTGTCCTCTGAGATGGAGTTCATATCGACTGAAGGGTACTCCGTCATCAATTGTTCCAGTAGGAGAGGATTCCTTTTCAGTGCACCACCCATACAGTAGAGTTCTTTCACATTCGCCCAGTCCAGAAGCTAAGAAGCAGAGTAAGAAAACGTGACAAGGTAATAAGGCTTATAATTTCGCTCTAATTTACTCAAATGAGGACATAAAAATTAAAAAAAAACTAAAGGATTTAATTAGCCCAAACACATTTAAAGTCCCTTAAAAATTTTAATTCGTTGTTTTTAACTATTGAGTGGGGGGGGGGAGGGAGGATAATGATAGCCATTTATCCTTTTAACGCCCCTTATGACCATATGGTCCTCTTTCAAAATAAGCTAAATTGGTACTAGACTCGTAACAGAAGGCGCTATTGTCGTTTGAAGCATGCTCAATACGTGGCTATAGCCTTCACAGATACCACCAAAACTCATCGCGTCGGCGGCATCAGTCTGCTGTGAGACATGTGATAGTGTGGTTGGCTGCAGTTTTTTTAAAAAAAAGGCTATTCGGGATTTAGAGCGCTAATTAAAAAGTAACTTAATGCTGAACATTCCGTATAAAATCAAATCAGAAATCTTGGGGGATGAATAATGGGAACTGTAATTTGGATTACCTATTGGACAATAATTGAACGGTCTGTAGAACCAGAGTTGAAATGCAGTTAGTTATCTGATATCTCAGCCCGTCATCAGCCCTTCCTCCATCCTTTATTGAATCAATCTGCTATTTCAGCTACTTTCTCGTGACTTCAAACTGCGTGTGTTGTTAGTCGCTATAGAAAAGCTTGCCAAGAATATTTGCATGCTCACAAGAACTGGGCTTCTCAAAATATACTCGAAATTCCAGCTACTTTGCATACACGTTAGAAATATATAGTTATGGGCTTTATTATTTTCTTTCGCCATAATTATACATGCATAGCACAATGGAAGTCTTCTTCAGCAGGATTCTGTGGCGTCATTTCCTTTTAGCAGCATGGACTGATCCACAACCACCCCCACCCCCTACCTCGCCCCTCCCTCCCCTGTTAGGACGGCTTTGTTAAGATCGTGCAATTTGGATTGCCACAACAATACGAGTTAAGCGTGCAGTTTCGAAGGTCCAAAAAAGGATAGGGGGGGGGAGATTTATGGCTCAAATGACCTTCAAATTGTTAAAAAAGCATAATAGGATATACCAGATTGATAGACCATCCGGTTAGTCAGTAATAAATCAGCAACGTGACTTTATTCCATGACAAGGCCATTGACGAAGAGTTCTCGTTTATTTCAGTGGTTCCATACGTAATTTTGTGTATTTTATTCCTAACGATTATTCATTATGCTTCCTAGCAGTGCGAAAGATGACATGCATAGATTCATTTAAATGAATGATCAAAGTGTAAGTTCATGATGAGTATTAACATAATCGAGAATAAAATCTATTCAAGGGTGACTTCAAAATGAGCAGCATTCTACAGTATTCAGGCTAGAATTGAGAGGTTTCAAATGTGACAAGAGACCTATTTCGAAAAAAAACTACCTTACCACCAAATTGGTATTAGGGACAATTGTAAAGTAAAGGCCCGAATGTATCCAGTGAAAGGGATTTATATGTTTAAAATGGTATCACCAGCCATACTGGAACAAAATTTATAGGAAGTACTATTAGGAAGCCCAATCGAATGGTTTTAGTATACGCGAACAAAATTCAAAATCCTCGCGCCGGTGTATAGGACGATCGGTAACTGGGTTTATGAGCTCACATCCGAATGTGTAAGTCCACCATAAAAGTAAGTTTCTCCGAAATTATGAGCGATATCTATAACCACGTACTCAGTTAAATATATATTCTCAAACTATATTCTCAATAAAACATGGTGTCTGATTAATGGACCATCTTCCTTCGGCTTCCTGATCTAAGTAATTACAACTTTATAAAGCGTAAATTGTGCAATTACAAGAAGTATTAAATAAGAAATTAGTACTTCTGGCGGAGCCATGCTAACGAGGTTTCGAACAACTCCACTGCAGATAGCAGAATATACAGAAGGCAGACTGAACATGTCGTCTGGATGAATGTTTGTGACGCTGCCTCCAGAAGCTTCCGTTGGTGAAGCCTGTTCGTAGCGCTCTAGAAAGAGCCGCGGATCGACAATTATCTCTGAGGGAGATTGCATTCGAGATAGGGGAGATCCGTTAGCATCAAAGCGATGACTTGCTGCGTGAGATAGCTTCTCGTACACCTATTAGGAAGAAATGAAATTTGACGAATGCGATTGGCATAGGTATGCACAATAAAGGAATAAAATTATATTCCCTGTTCAGTACATGTAACCTTATTAGCCACTCTAAGAGTTGCAAGATCAAAATATATTTCAAATGACAGGCGGTTTGACAGCTATCATTAGCCCTTTAGCTGACTTCGGGCTTCACAGAGAGGAGGAACATTTTAGCCCTTTAGCTGACTTCGGGCTTCACAGAGAGGAGGAACATCAAAGTGACAAAAGAGTCGAGAGAGGGAACAGAAGAGAGATCCATAGATGTAAAAGAGACAGACAGACATAAAGGTAGAGAAAAGGTGAGGTGAGTATTGTGGAAGTGGTCGAATATGACATACAGTGGGGTCATGGTGGGTGCGTACCATGGAAGTGGTCGAATATGACATACAGTGGAGTCATGGTAATTTGAAGTCAGAAGTCAACTGCCGAATAATAGACTTTTTTATTGAGTCAGAAGTCAACTGCCAGTTAATAGACTTTTTTTGCCGTATGGCCGTATGAGTATACGTTGCCCAGGGTGCACCACGTGGAGGTAAGTCTATTGCACATCCAACGATCAAAATATAGGTAATTTCTTTTGTCATAAACATATATTACAGGAGAGAAGGCATTCCATTTTTTATTTCATTATCAATTGACTTTAATAATCCAAAAATTTTTTAAATGTGCATTTAGATGGTATTGGCCGACTGTTTTAAGTTTGTTGAGAATTTCAAAGATCTAATGAACACCAGAAATAACAGCAAGTGCCTTTCTAAAGACTTTGCTTTACGAACTCCTTAAAAAAGCTTTTCTGTTCTCAAATAACCTACTGCAAAATTGTCGCATCAACAGGTATACATATTGCATTATTATCATTATTACTGAGATTAATTGATGTAAAACAGACAGACGTGAAAACATTGCTCTAAGCCAGACGGTAAACAAACCCACATATTCTCGACAAAACCAATCACAATAGGTCAACTTGTTGAACATCAAAATTTGATTGTTATTATCGCCAGTATTCTTTAAAACAAACAAGAAATGTTTGTTTAAATACGCCTTTTCAACATAATGATATTGTTCTGCTTCTCATTCAAGCGATAAGCACCCTATTTAACTACTAATAAATCTTTTAACAGACAAATTAATTTTACTATGCAAAAATAGTGTGTAGGCCATACGAGTAGATGTAAACTGTGTGCAAAAATGCCCCTTATTTCATGAATACCTTAATAAATGATATAAGTATAAATAAGGGCATAAATAAGTTAAAACTGAATTCCATTAAAAGCATTTATTTCAATTTATTCATTTGGCACCAGAAGCGACTTTCTAAACGACCTTTAAAGTAGGCACTTTTACCACAAATTGATTGATGGTCTAAAAGACGAATAAAAATTCTTTTGCCCTGATAAAGTTAATAGAGCTCTTGCTAATTAGATAGGTTAGTTCCTAAATTAAATCCTAAAGACCTTGGCCGCCAAACTAGGTTAAAATTTTACCCTGCAAAAGCACATAATAGAAACAATGCGAACACAAAGTGAGTGTTCGTCATGGTAATAGTTAGAAACTCAATCCATAAGTAACAAATTATTATTATTATTTCAAATGGCAGACGTTTTGAATATTTATCATTAGCTATTTAGCTGACTTTGGGCTTCGCAGAGGGAAGAAAATCAAAGTGAGAACAATTCGGGGGGGGGGGGGGGAGCAGAAGAGTGATTCACAGATGTAGAGGAGACAGGCAGACACAAAGGCAGAGAAAAGGTGAGATGAGTACTGTGAAAACTGCGTAATATGACATACAGTGGGGTGATGGTAGTTTGAAGTCAGCTGCCGGTTAATAGACTTTTTGCCGTATGAGTATAAGTTGCCCAGGGTGCACCACGTGGAGGTAAGTCTATCGCACACCCCAAGTAACAAATTATGGCTTAGTATAAGCAGTTTGTACCCTTGGAATCTTAGATGTGAATTTTCGGTGTTACGAAATACGTAAAATGACAGTTTTCGAGGTGTGAAAGCTGCCGACAAAACCCCTTTCGGAAAATAAAGTACCTATAGTTCAAATATTAAAAATTACAAATATATGCATTTCGGACTGTAGGAAAACTTTAAAGAGTTTCTTAATTACGTAAATATTATGATTTCAAATTAATAATTTAACTTCCACCCTACAGTTCTGGCAAATAAATAGGGCAAATGAAAAAAAATAATTGCATGCCTATAAGAACACTTCCCGAATGACTTAGAGAGCAAAAAATAAAATAAAATACACAATCTCCTCCGTTCAAAATAAATGGAAAAAAGAGGAATAAATAATTCAGGAAGTCAATGAAATCGGTAGACATTAAACGCGATCGCAAAAAAACAGCGGGAATCTTTGAAGGGCACACAAATTTTTTTTGGTAACAAGCAAGGTATTCCCCTAACACTTTGGCTAATTATGGCGTATTACCCAGATCATCATCATCATCATAGAATATCTTGTAATAAATGAAATTAACGAAAGCAAGGTTACTTTAGCATGGAATAAAGTCCCTCATTGTGGTGTCTTGTAGCAAATCAACGTTGATACTTCCTAAATCCCTTAATGCCTGAATGATTATTTTTGAAAAATGCACCCAACCGCACTCACGCATATCTCATAGCAGACTGATGTCGCCGACGTGATGAATTTTGGTGGTGTATCAGGCGAAGGTTATATACATATTGAACACATTTAAAACGGCAGTAGCGCTTTCTGTTATGAGTGTACTACCGAGTGAGCTTATTTTGAAAGGCCTTTAAAGAGTTAATGTGAACAAAAATTAGGATGGAAACTAGCTTGAAAAGTCAAAATTCAAATGATTCAAGGAGAGGTGATCACTGCAAAATGTAACATGGTAGTGATTGGTGCTGGTTATCGATCTGATAAAATGCACAAAGAGGGAGGGAATTTGCTCATTGGAAATATGAGTCTCTCGCGAAATAAGGTGGATCGATACCTTAGAAAAATGTAAGCGGCAATGAAACAAAATTCAACAGCCAGTGGCACTATATTAATTACTAATATCATTATGCACATATATCACCATATCAATAAAGTAAGTCCTAAGCCAGAAAAGGGAGAAAAGAGGTAGAAGAGTAGACTCAAGATTGACAGATGCTCTTTCTATCGAAATTGACAGGCAAATATGATATGCTGCTAATATCACTGAAGGCTAAAATAAAGGTCACGAAGAGAATTTGAAATTATTTTTGTTTTACTATTTTGAATTTAGCCAACAAAAAGGACATGGGAAGTGAATCCTACGTTCGATTTGACGCACGGAAAATAAAGCATACTTTTTATGACCGAAGTTATCCCCTCCCTCAACTCTGCCCCTATTAAAGCAGCAATTATATTTGCTTGACAATTATATTATTAAGTATTTGCATTTCTAAACAACCCTAACGCCGTATTCGGTTTAAAACCTGAGGCTACTTAGAGAATTAACTCCAAATACCGAAAAGCTAGTCGTCCTGCTCTAAACAGAATTCATTTACTCCACGTCCAAACTCGATCAGTCAGATAACTAGGGTTGCGGGTTATGTTGTCCAATAATACCTTCTCTCCGTTTTTTTTAAGATAATAGTAGAAGACTGAGATTAGTTGAAATGCTTGAAAATTAATTCAAAACGTCAGCGAATCCGTCAGTACCTCTTAGAGGGAGAGGAAGTGAGTGAGAGAGAATGAAATTCAAACCATTTGTCAAATAAAGAGACTTCAAATCTCACTGGCAAAGAAAATTTCTTTCGAAGGCGATTAAAATTGCACGAGGGCAATGGAAATTT